TATTTGTCCTTCTCTGCCTGACTTATTTCGCTCAGCATAACCCCCTCAAGGTCCATCCATGTTGCTACACATGGCCAGATTTCATTGTTTCTCATTGCCATGTAGTATTCCATGGTATAGATAAACCACATCTTCTTGATCCATTCGTCTGTTGATGGACACTTAGGCTCTTTCCATGTTTTAGCTATTGTGGAGAGTGCTGCTATGAACATTGGGGTACATGTGCTCCTATGCCTCAGCATTTCTGTATCCCTCCTACAAGGGCATTCTTGATATCCCCTTCCTTCCAAAATCAGTCTCCAAGTCCTGTTATTTCTTCCAAATTGCATCTTGAGTCAGCTGTCTTCCAGCTTTGTAGCCAAAGCCGTATTCCAAGTTTCCATAATTCTTGCTGGGGTACTGCAGTAGCCTCCCCATCCCTCTCCTAGTTTTGCTCCCCTTCAATCCAATCTATGCATAGCAGTTAGAGGGTAACCTTGGTATAAACATAAATTGGAAGATGCTACGCCGTCATTTAAAACCTTTTGATGTCTTCCCTTGCATTCAGAATGAAGTTCAAGCTCCTCACGGCCTACAAGGCCCTCTGTGATATAGCTCTGTCTCTCAACCTCCTGCCTACTCTTCTTCCACATCAGGGCCTTCCAAAGTGTTCTTCCCTTTTCCTGATATGCCCTTCTCTCCACTCTCCATCTTTGTTTGGCTAATGTGTAAATTTCCAGATGTTAGCTTAGATCTAACTTCCTCTGAGAAGTCTTCCATTACCACCCCTTTCTTAATCAGTTTATGTTTGCTAGTTTTCCTTTTGGATCTTTTATCACACTTTGCCACCTTAATGTTTGCTTATGTTTGCCTCCCCCATTAGACTAAATTCTGTAAAAGCAGAAACCGTATCTGTTTCATTAAAAAATGTAAAGAAAAAGGTACCTGGCTGACTCACTCCATAGAGCATGCAACTTTGATTTTAGCATTGTGAGCTCAAGCCCCATGCTGGGTGTAGAGTTTACTTAAAATCTTTAGGGGCACCTGGGTGGCTCAGTCAGTTAAGCGTCCAGCTTTCGCTCAGGCCATGATCTCATGGTTTGTGAGTTCAAGCCCCATATTGGATTTTCTGCTGTCAGCATAAAGCCTGCTTCGGATTCTCTGTCCCTCCCCTGCTTGATCTCTCTCTCTCTCTCTCTCAAAAATAAACACTTAAAAAATAATAAAATAATAAAATCTTAAAAAAGTATAGGTGCTGCCATACCTGGCATATAGAATTACTCAATAAATACTAATTGAACAAGGAGTGGTTTGAAGCCTGGAAGAGCTAATGATGAAAAGCTTGGAGCTGCACTGCATACAAAGGAGCTTTTCAGTGTGGGATAGATTAGAGATGGTAACTGTGTGAAACCGTTAAGTCCTTGTTCTACAACCTATAAGTGGCATGACCTTAGATAATTGTCTCTGAACTTTTTTCCTCAACTGGAAAATGAGGCCAGAGTGATATGGCTTGGCCTAGCTCACAGGGTTGTAGTTAGGATCAGAGGTACAAATTAATGTGAAATGATTGAGCACATGTAAGAGGCTATACTAATGCCCACTAGCCCATTGCTGAGGATGGGGTGAGGCTCATGCCTCATTATGGTCTGGCTGCGTAGGGAGGAGAAGCCACGCCTTTCCAGAGCCACCAGCCCATGGTGCATGGGCTAGCTCTGTGCTGGGACCCATGGGAGCGGTCGGGATGAAAGCTAGCTGTGCACCTGGACTCTTGCAGCGAGCTGGGGAAATGGGCATGGCTTTGTGGGCGGCCAGTGTCACCTCAAATTTTACCTTTTGAGACGTTGGTGCTGATCTATCCCTAGTAGTTGTATTGTCTGTCTGTACTATCCACGTCCTTCCCATCCCCTCTTTCTGTCCTCTCTTCTCTCACCTTAAAGATTTTCATTTTCAGCTTATTGATCTAGTTCTTCCCTGTGGTGGGATACATAATGGGAAAAAGGGGTTTGAAGTAACTACAGCCTAAGGGTGATCGGAGGAAGCTATGGGGCTGAACACCTGGGTTCTTTCCTTTCATTTCAGAAAGAGCCACAGTCTGTTGTTCTTGAAGGCTGGTGGGCTCTGGGTGGGGGTGAAGAGGCAGCTCCCAGCTCCAGGCTGCGGAATCACTGGGCCTGGTCTAAGGGATGGAAAGTGCTAGGGCAGGGTTGGGAGTGAGTCATGGTGCATGTTTTTCAGCCCCTGTCTTTCAAAGGCTGAGGGGAGGAAAAAAGCTGACTGCCCACCTCTCTGTTTGTCTTGTCTAATTTAAGTTACGTTATTTATCAAAAAGACAGGTTATTTGGAAAACCAGATGGACCCAGGCAAAAATCATCTGGGTTTTCCAAACGTGAAAAATTAGGTTCTGGGGGCCCAGGAGGAAAGGCGGGTGTGTGTGAGTGAGTGAGTGAGTGAGTGTGTGTGTGTGTGTGTGTGTGTGTGTGTGTGGTTGGGAGGAGGTGAGGAGTATTGACGGTACTTTTTGTTTCTCTGTAGTCAGACCCAGAAATTGCTCCATAGTATCCGAGCTTTCCCCCTCCCTGCCCCACCTCATCTTCCTTCAAGTTCTTTATGATTGGAATCTAAATGAGAAAACGAAAATCTTTATGTTTGTGGCTGGGAGTGCTTGGAGAACTCTCAGCCATGAGAACCTGTCAGGGCTAGAACAGAACAGCAGCTGACAGCTTCCTTTATCTCTCCAGCCCTCACCTCCTGCAAAATTGGTAGCTTAGCAAGAGCTACAGGGTACAGAGAGATTTTAGGAGCAGAAACCTCCCCCTCTTATCCCTTCAAGGTTATCCCCACATGATCACACAGATCAGGAAGTTAGATATTAGGGGTAGAACTCAGCCTTTCATGACTTTCTAATGCTTGGATGGCCTAAGAACACTGGGGATTCAGAGTGATCTATTCTTTAAATGTCCAGGGAAGGAGGTAGTTCTGTAGCTACAACCAGGAATTTTTTAAGCCCATACTTCTGTCACCTCTGGAGAGAAACATTGTTAGAAAGGGATTCCAGCAAGAGGACATGGATGCAGGACTCCATGTGATGGGGAGATACTCTGTCTAAAAGCAGAGAGAGAGCCATCCCTCTACATACACACATGCACCCACACAGGACAGCCAGGACCCTTTGTGGCCCAAAGAACCTTTGATGGCAGCAATAGCACTTGTCCCATTGTGTCAGTTTTTAAAGTGTCACTGGACTGTGAAAGCCACTTAATAACTTGATCTCATTGGAATAGTCTAAGCTAATACTAGCTCCAGAGTTGTGAGGATTAAGTAAGGAAAACATTTGTAGTGTCTCCCTCTAGGCCTGGCATATCGCAAACCTCAGTGAATGTTTGTTGAATGAATGAACCCATGAATTCGATCATTAAGGCTCCCTTGACCATTTCCAAAGATCAGTTGCTTGAATAACAGACTTGCAGGCTGTCCCCATTGAGCCTGGAACCTGAGGCATGATCTAACTGTGCCTCTCACTTAACACAAGTTTAATGAATATCCATGGTGTGTGGGGTAGACTGTAATGGGCTGCCCTGTCCCCCTTTGAGGAAGGCCTTGTTGTTGCAGTTTCTGGGAGCATTGTCTACAGACAGCCTCCCATGGTCAGCCCCTTTGGGGATTGCCTTGACAGCAGAGAGCCTCTTGCCCAAGATCATGCCACTTTCCAGTATGTAATGACGGAATGTAAAGGGCTGCCCATCTCAGCTCATTTGGGGACAATTCTGAAGGGCTATGCAACCTTTCATAGTTCCCTGAGGGGTTGACTGAGGCTATCAAAGACCTGAATGGTAGTTCAGCTCCTTTCCCCTCCCTGCCACAGATCTTGATCCCAAGGGCACTTTGTAATAAGCATC